TTCTACTTTGAACAATTGTTGTTGTGAGAACAATTTGCTATTTTAAATTGCGAACGAATTCACAATTTGAATGCGTGTGTGTTTAACATATATTATCTGCTCTACTAGTTTTACCAAAATGCAATGCTGTATCAGTGGTTTTGATCAAGACTCAGTTTAAAATTCCATTTAAACCCAAAATGTAGAAGGTTAATTTAAAGATCTATAACTTGATTTTTCATTTGGTTTACAATGACCAATTCAATTGGTTTACAATCCATTTGCTTTGGAATAATTATTTTTGATTTTCATCAGTGTAGGGAGATTCAAGGCTTCTTCTCTTAGAAGATCTGAGTGTTGCTTTGTTTTTTCATTTCAGCTTGTTACAAAAAATGGAAAAGGTTCTCATAGAATGGAAATGATGAGCAGTGTGGATTTTCAGGCAATCAAAACATTTTAATGAGCTCATTAAATGTATCATTTACAGCACATATATGTTAAAAGAAATATGTTTCTCTGGGTTAGTAGAAGCACTAGGTACACAATGTGTTTGAACATGTTAGGCTTCCACCAGAATCTATGCCAGAACTGCAGAAACCTGGAAGAAAAAAACCCAAAAGCTTCAACCTTTTTCTTGTTTCAGTGTCTTCAGAAACAGAAACCTTTTTATATTTTATGCAAAATGAAGAAAAAAGGTGTTATGAGAACTTGATAGATTTTTCTAGGATTGCATCTCAGTTGATAGATAAGGACTGCTATCGAATGCTGTAAGATTGATTGTTATTTTCTGTTATTGCTAGGGTTAATAATGGATTTTCTTAGGAATGCAACAACTAGTGTTTTACAGGGAGAGCAGTCTTCCTAAGGACACAGTTTTATCATTATTTGGGTCTTCTATGTAGTCTTGAGAGCTTGGAAAATGAGGGCTCTTTTCAAAAAGACAGGTACTGCAGTAGTGGCTCTTAAAGCTGATTCATCCATTTGGTTGCCTCTTCTAAACCACAGATTCCAGAGAAAAACACCTACTTCAAACAGGCAGTTCCCCGATGATTCACAAAGGGTGAAACCCCAGTGCTGATAAAAGGAATGGGGCAGAGACTAAGATTTATTTTTTTCTGTCTTGGGGAAATCTAGCTTTGGAACAGTAGGTGCATTAAGACCATGCCTCCTAAAGCAATAGTTTTCAATATGTATTAATGAGAGATGTGTCCAGCTTTCAAAACTACATCTTTACCAGATGTAGGCAGCATCCTTCTCAAAGGGATGAGCTGTTTTCCACCCTGAGCCAGGCAGCACAATGGGTGACAGGCCTGGGCTGGAGCACAAAAGCTATTGCATTATACCTCTGCTATTTCTTTTCATCATAGTATTGTTCCTGCAGTGGTTTGTTGACAAGTTATATGTTTTAGAGATCAGGTCTGCTTGACGAGGAATCCTTGCTTTAAGTCGTGTCTAGGACAAACCAGGTTTGTAAATCAGACCTTATGGTTCCTACTGGAATGCTAACGATCTCAAAGGGAGAGTTGGGGTTTTGAAAACAAATCTAAGCTAATGCCCAGGGTTCCTGAAAGAGCTGTTAATATCATGAAACCTCTTGTTAAAGGTCCCTTTTAAAATATAAGAACTTGTCAGACCCTGCTGAACTAGGGCTGTTTGGAACTGCTGAAATGACACACCAAAGCATCCTTTGCTGGGTCTGGCCATATCTCTTCTGCCTGGCCACGTCTTTAATGCTTCATTGCAGCAATTCCAGTGCTGCCAATAGCAACGCAAACCAGAGCGTAATGTGGCCCATCATGGTTTGGATGTATTTGCTGCATAGATAACTATGTGAGGCAGTTAGCCCAGCATGCCTGGCCCTACTGACAGGAAGAATGACTCTTCTCTGGGTTACTGCAGGAAAGTGAGCTCCCAGACATTTGCCACCCACGCACACTTTGAAAAGGCGTTCAAATAAGTCAAAATACATCAACCGTGTAACTAAGTTTTGAACACTCCGCATTTGTTCGTACTGGGTGTGAGCAATGAGTTGTGTTTTACAAATCCTCTCTGAACTGAGGAAGCAGTGCAGAATCAGGAGACAAATACGGGACTCTGACATCTCTCTTTCCCACCAGTCTAAGGTAGCTTCTGTCACTATCACCAACAAATTTCCAGATTAATTAGTAAGGTTAAAGCATAACAATTTAGGCCTTATTCACCTGTGATAAGCGGTGGCATTTTAGCTGCTGCATCATCTTGATCTGATGAAAATCAACATAAAGGGTAAAGTGATTAACACACCAGAAGCTCTGATGATAACTCTTTCTGGCAGTGAATGTTGAATGTTCAACATTAGTAAGTCTTCACTACCTCCTGGCAAAGAAGGAAGCTAACCATTTCTGTGCCTCAGAAGATACTTTGTATTCAGTTACACAAAGATAAGTGTAGTATTTTGCCTAAATCCTTTTAGATAGAATCAGTCCTGAGGAAAAAGACATTACTTCTGCTAAATTTCAGACCAAAGCAATGTCATAGCCAAATTGCAAACCTCTAGGACAGGCCTTTTTAGTGGAAATGCTGACACAGCCTTAACCATTTTGTATGACTCCAGCAGGCACCAGCTTAAATTCTAGTTATGATGTGCATTTAATGGCATGGGATCAAACATAGAGTGTAATGGGATATTTTAAGATACTGTATTTGAAGAGAATCAGTACTTAAACATTATTTATGAACCATATCATTTAAATGCTTCTGAAATGTGCCATTCAGTACTTGGGTGCATGAAAAAGTTTTCTAATCACATTTCTCATTTTGAAGCATAGCATAGTTTTCTTCCACAGCTTTAATGCTGAGGCACTTCCAAGAATAGGGTTAATATTATTTAATGGGACCCTTACTGGAATATCTGTGGAAAATAAAAGCTTTCATTTTTCATTGTGGTGCTCTCTAGTTCTTCATTTCAGCCTTTTGAGAGATAGTCCAATTTTGCTTGGAGAATATCTTTGAAGATTGTTTCTCTCCAGTTAACAGTGACTCTGCAAGAAGACAGCATGTACTAGGATTTGTTGTGTTGTGCTAGACAAATCAGCTCTTTCTTGTGTGGTAGCTTTCACATGATTAAAGTTAAATTGATAGCATAAAAGGTTTTCTCTTACACAACCTAATATGCTTTTTTCTGCTTTTTTTTTTTTTTTTTAATGCTGAGGAAGCATTTGCTCCAAAAGGGAAGTTGACATTAATTAGCTGTGCAGGTTGACAGTAAAACTTGCTTTAATGCAGGTGGTGACTAGAACTCTCATTGCTTTTGCTGCAAATGAGAATGTAGTGTTGAAAGCAGACAGTTTTGGTTATTACTTGGTTATTACTCAGTTGCAGCTTGGAACTTTAAATCATCTATTTTATGCTAGAAAGAAACCTGTTCCTTCAACTGTTATTTGCTGAATAAAAATGCTAACTGAAATCATTTTAGTGCAGAAGGTTAGGAAATTTCAGAGCTAGTCCTAGTAAGTTTTTGCCACAGGTTGAATCTGTTTTTAATTAATTAGCAATAATCTGTGTGAAGGTCTCAAAGCTCTCTGTTGATAAGTTAAAAATGGAAGCAATTTCTGGAGAGGTACCAGTGATTGATTAAACCAAAGGGACTCTGTCACTGTTTCATTCTTTAAAGAACAGGCACAAATCGATGGTAAATCCTAAATGGCTAATAACCAGAATTGCAATTAGTTCAGAAGCTGATGAAAATTTAAAATTGTATCTTAATCCTGTGGTAAGGTCTGAATTATTTAAGTTATTCATTCCACATGATTCTTAGAGGTGTGCTTTTTTTTTTTTTTTCTTTACTTTTAGTAGAGTCAAATGGAAAGAAAATTACTGTAGTGCTCTTGGCACTACAGGGAAAAACTAGTAGTTCACATTATTTAATAATGTTGCAACAACCTACTGTTTGTTTGACAGAAAACAGAACATATTGAGATGCGTATCTGAAGAGCAGAGTTCCATAATGAAAAAAATGATGTGTGTGCATTGAATGTATAAGCTACACTTTTGAGACTTTTGAAATTTGCTAAAAACATTTTACAGCTACAGATATTTTCACTAACTCTCCTGTTTTTCATTTGGAGGAGGTATCATCTGTCACCGTTTAATCATATCTTATTTTAGCTATTAAAAAGGCATGTAATTTTAATTTTTGTGGCTCATTAGTGTGCAAATGCCAGTGGGCTTGTTTAGCCTAAACTCCTGGTCTAAATTCAAATCCCTCTGCTTTTGAGGAGACTATGACCACCTTTTAGAAATGCAGCCATCATAATCTGAAAATCAAGATCTGGAAATAAGTAACAAGAAATATTTTTTAAAGCAACTCCACTGGAAGCAGAAATGAGTGCAGAAATTTTCCAGAGTAATACAGTGAACAACACACTGAAATATGGTAAAATAAAGCACAGTTTGCTACTGAAAAAGTTAAAATCACAATTTCGTGATCTAACTGAACCTGAGGGACAAAGAATCCCAAACAACTAAAAAAGTAAAATGCATTTAGCCATTACAGTTCTTTGGAGAATATGTAGTATTTGCATAGTTTCATTTATTTTTCTTTTTTATTACTAAACACATTTATTTAGATACTTGCATTCCTTGAAAAAAAGAAATTAAAAAGGAAAAAAGAAACAGCAACAGAAAATTTGAGGGTGGTCTAAGATGTCTGTCTTCTTTATGTAACCTTTTGCATTTTGTGTTTAAGAACTGACATTCCAAATGATTTTCTTTGGCTTTATGCCTGGAGTGAATACTGAGGCAGCAAATTAGGAATGCTTAAGAAGTCCCACAAAGAAAGATGTTTGCTGTGAAAGTGCAACTAATGTGACACTTGCACTAGAAGCTTCTTAGCTTGCTCAAATGATAAAAGATGGCATGGGTCTAGGTGGTGCAAGGGGGGGTGAGTGAAAGTGCCGTGTGCTGAGCTGTACGAGGTGTCTCCTGTGGCCAGCTGTCTGCCACTGTGACTGTGCTGATACTACCTTGTGTTTCTCTTCCAGGGGCCAACTTTGTCACTCGAAAGATCAGCCGCTCGGTAGCAAAGATTCACCTTGGACAGCTGGATTGTTTCAGCCTGGGCAATCTGGATGCTAAGAGAGACTGGGGCCATGCCAGGGACTACGTTGAGGTAAGCTGTGGGATTTTTTCTGAATCATCTTTGTGGAGGGGATAATACTTACTGCCTTAACTTCAGGTTATGGTCCATGGAGGGCTATCTAAAGATTCTTTTTTTTTTTTTTTTTGCCTATTGAGGTCTGTTAACTTTGTCTTGTTCTTGGCTTCAGATTAGGGAATTTAGTAACACAGCAGTCTACCCCAGGCATGACCTGAACAGAAAAATAAATCTTTGGGTTTACATTCCTTGCCTGAATTCCTGGGGAAGGGATCTGACTACAATGTGGATCTATTTTAGAGTATTTCTTCTATTCTTTTGACGTATTTTATGACCAATATTAAAATTTCAGCAAGATGCAGTATGACCTGAAGTGAAAGATCCTGCTGGAGGTTGGTGACCCTTTTTTAATAAAGCAAAAATTAGGTCTATATTAATGACCAAAGACCTCTTTGGTTATACATTATAAAGAAGCATCACAACCTGCGTTTAGTGTTTGAAATGTTTGTGTAGTCCGGATTTGTTTCTAATTTTATTCCACCCATCTACTTAAGCAGACAAACAAACAATACCCCTGTATTGTATTACAAGGAGACATGAATGACCATGTAGGAAATATTGTCTTTTCCCCAGGAGATTTTTGTCCCCATTTTGGTGCTTAAAGATTTCCTGTGGTCATTGGACTATTTCTGTCTTTTAATAATTCCTTGCTGGGAAACCGGATTTGACTTCACCATTCATTGATGTAGTTTAAAAAGATGACGACTGTTTGTTTTGGTTTTCTGTGTTACAAAGTAAAAAGTATCTCAGTAGGCAAAGGTCTGATTTTTATCATAAATTGAGACTTTAACGCTAGAGTAAAAGTTGAGCTCTCAAATCTTCTTTACGATCAAAAGGAGCAAGAAATCAAAATTGTAATACCTCTCTAAACTGATGTCCTGGATAACACTGAAAAAGATAAACAGCCATATTGCCTTGGTATCAAAAGGGTTGCATCAAGCATCTATAAATGAAGTTGTCTTTGGTTCTGTGCTGCATTTGCATGTGAAATGTTAAGGTCACCATGGGTGTAATGACTGTGCCTCCATGACTATGGCTTTATGTTTGTGGCTACAACATTGGTTGAAGCAGTTAAACCAGTAAACCCAGTCATCTTTTTAATGCATAAAACTATGGTCATGATTGATCATAAAATCAGTTACCAAGTTTCTACTGAAAGGAAGTAAAAGATGAGTCAAATAAAATGATCAGTTGCATGAACATAATGAATATGATTTGTTAACAGGAATTGGATATTTCATAAAGACTTCAGCTATCTCATTCCAACAGAAACTGCACTAGGTCATAAATCATGGGATGAATCCTGAAGTCTTCAACCCTAAGGGAAATCTTAAATAACTTGTGCCTTCTAGGTTAGACCCTTGTCCTGTGTTCAGGACACAGAATGGGACAGAATTTCATTTTCAGGAGCTCAGGACAGAATCACAGGATGGGTCAGGTTGGACGGTACCACAGTGGCTCATCTAGTCCAACCTTCCTACTCAGGCAGAATCACCCTAGAGACCACTGAACAGAATTGTGTCCACACACTTCTTTTCTATCTCCAGTGAGGGCAACTCCACAATCTGTCACAGTGCTCAGTCACCCACGCAGTAAAGAAGTTCTTCCTCATATTCAGGTGGAACTTTCTGTGTGTCAGTTGCTTCTCGTTGCCTCTTGTCCTGTTGCTTGGCACCATCAAGAGCCTGGATCTGTCCTCTTGACACTGCCATTAGATACCGACAGACACTGATGGCATTCTTCTCTTCTAGAGGCTGAACAGGCCCAGCTCCCTCAGCCTATTGAGGCTATCATTCAACCCTTAAAAACTAACAAGTCTATCTAGAAGGATGACTCGCTTTCAAGGCCTTTGGGCTCCAGAAGGAATGTTGTTGTCTGAGGTCTGTGGCACAAACACATGGTTTTTATGCAAGTAGCATTCCAGGCCTTTCAGCTACACATCTTGGGCCTGTCCCAAAATCTTCTGGAAAGAATTCCTCGCTAACGTATAGTTCATCTTGAGTATTTCTCATCCCAGAGAGGTACCCCTTCAGATGATGGGAGAGTTATTACCAATTCTCTAATTCCCTGAGTATGGTGGAAATGTGGTTACAGGCAGCTTTCTAATGGCTAAAAAACAGGGTAACTTTAAACTGGAAATAAACTATTATTTGAGGCTTTAATGGACTGGAAAGTAGGGCTTAGAGATTTAACGTTGTTCAAATAAATACATAATATGGTAGAAAGCACGATCATATTTACAAGCATTTTGGGAGCTTCCTTAAGCATATGGCTGAACACATAGGGATATATCTTATCCTCTCCATATGTAGCTTTAAATCCCATTGATATTAATACAAGTAACACATGTGCATATAGACTAGACCATGTACTGTGTTTTCTTTCTTCTTGTTTCCTTATTAGGGATAATAATAAAACCATAAATACATTCCTTTTTGTTGTTTTATGAAATATTATAGGTCAATTCCTGATCTCATGAAAGTTGATGAGCAGATTCCCATTGACTTCATGGATAGACAGTATCCTGTGTGCATTGGACTTGAGAATGTCTGGTGGTTACAAAGCACAAGCAGAATTCATGACTCTGGAGCTTTGATTGTACAAGTTAATTTGACTGCCACTGGGATTTTGGGCAAACTCCTTTGTATACAGTAAAGCACGGAAGCGTGTGCCTTCACTGAAGCATGTAGGTGCCCTTCAAGGGATAAGCTGAGGGTAGCTTTAGTAGCAGATAATTCAGAAGTTTGAGGTTTAAACATGGGTTCATATCAGTGAAGAATAGTTGGAAAATGTATTGGATTAAGATTTTGACCTGGCACTTGAACTGCCACCTGCAGGAGCAGGGTACAGCAGCATTGTGATGGTGAAGGAAAACCGGGAAGTCCAACTCACTGGAAAGAAAGGATTTCATCCAGTGTTTGAAGAGAACAGAACAGATATAAGTAGGAATTGAAATTTTTTGGTGTGGGATTACAAATTTTAGCCTAAAATGAGTAACTCTTGACATGTTGGCAGAAAATGTTGCTGCCTCCTGCTCTTCCTTACTCCATTATTTACTCTGCTGTGATCCAGCACAAGTCTCATGAGATTGTATGAGACATGATGATTGTTGCCACTGAGTTGGAAGAGGGAAAGTAATATATCAGTTTATTTGTTGCAGACCATCTGCTGGCTATTTTGAATTATTAGCACAATAGCAAGCCTTAAGAGTACTGAGTACAGCGCTGAGTACAGGGGAAGAAACACCCTGCTGGCCACACTATGGCTGGTACAGTCCATTGGCCTTTTTGGCCAGCCAGACACACCAGCCTCCATGAAACAGCTGAGGCCTTTTCTGCCTTTCCTTCAGTTTCCTCTTTGTCACCTGCTAATGCTCAGGTTGCCTTCTGCAATTGCAATGCCCATGCCTCAGTGTTGTGCAAACAGCAGAAATACTACACTGATTAAAGCTGTGAAAAAGCCCCTCAGTCTTGATCTTATAAAGCTTAAAGAATGAGTCAGAGGCAGAAGTTTTAATAGTCTTTAGGTATTTATAGAGATCAGAAATATTTTCTCTTGCCTTCAATAGAAAGCCAGTAGTACGTCAAACAATAATTACAGAGGACTCATAATTGGGTCATAATTGGCTCCAATTCAATTAATTACATGTCTAGTCAAAAGTTTAAAATTAGGTATGTGCCTACATTCATGGTGAAATCAGGGTGCATTTGATGTTTAGAATGCATGGGAATTGGCTTCCATTAATTTATATTTAAATAATGCAAAAGAAAACAATCAAAGCAAAAGAAAACTGTTTATAAATAAGTAATATAGTAAGTTATTGTAAAGGCCAACCAAGCATATTAAGAAACTGTGAAACTGCTTAAAGAGAGAATTTCAATCTTACTTTCTTTTTAATTGGTACTGGTGCTGATTCATACATGAATCACAGATCAACGTATGAATCAACACCGGTACTAATTAAGTAGAAACACAAGAAAATACACTGTCATTTTTATTGTCTTAGACAATTTTGCACATGTTGAAATTTAGATGGTAAAATCTAATCTTTGTTTAAATCTCCAGTCAGCATCACCTGGTCTTTTATTCATGATTTTTCTACTTGTTATTCTAACAGGCAGAAACTGACCCTTGGAAACAGCTGCTACCACTGCTGTTGTGGGAAATCCCTTCTTGTACGTTTTTGTGTATGTTTAAATATAAAAACTCTTGCCAGACAGAATTATTTAGAATTTTACTTTACTCTTGTGCATAAGAAAAGGAGCGAGCCAGCAAGAGTATTGGCCAAGGCATTTTTACTTTTGTTTTTTATTTTCTTGTAGCTTCAAGGATGTGTTGTCTTTTGAGCTACATTTTACCTTAGTCTGCTAAGACTTGAAGCTTTTTCTGAGTAATCCTTTCACCATCCCAGCTGAATTCTTGTTTGTGAGAGTCTTCCTTTTTTAAGGGCAGTTGGTTATAAAAGGAAACTTAGTTGTATCTGTCTGTTTAACTATCAGTACCTCATACGGTTATGAGACTGGCTTGTGAACTTAAGGCATGTTTCTAAATGCAGATTACCCTTTTTGTATGGACCGAAGTGAAAAATGCTTTTTTTGAAAAATGCTACTGCTTAGTTTTAATGTTTAAAGTCAGTGTCTTCTAATAAAAGTGAAGAAATAATTTTAAGCTCTCAGTGATGGGCTTGTTTCAGTATGAGTGTATAGCCATCCAGGTAAAGTGTATTTTGTGTATTTCCAAATACACAGAACTTTTTCTTTCCATCAGCTTGTCTGAGGTGGCATAACTAAAGGCTCTATTAAACCAAAACTGATCTTCAAATTAAATCAAATCTGCTGAGGTAATTATACACTAAACTGCTTCCATCTAAGTGAAGTAACTGTGAGAGCATCATGACTTGTAAGAACCTTTAGGAGAAAAGTTTGATAGACTGTGCTCCTTTGGAACAACTACTG